CTTCCAGGCTTAAACTTTGCAAAGGCAAAGTTTGCAGGCTGGAGCGTCTTCCCGCCGAGGATCAGGAAGGGTTCTGCCCGGCGGGTGGGCGGGCTGCTTAAACTTTGCTCGGGCGGCACTTTAAAAGCCTGCTCCCAGCACCTGAGCAACTTCCCAGCAACTTTCGGCTTCCTTTTAACTCGCGGGCGCTTGCGCCTGGCCCCGAGCCGCGCGGCAGAGGGGAAGCCCGGTGGGCGGGCAGGCTGCTTGGAGGAGGCGACCCGGCGGTGCTCCGGCAGCAGCAAGAGGCAGTTTCGCCCGGGCTCCGCTCAGGTGTCCGGCTGGGGCTGTCAGGAGTTGCTACCGCCGGCGCAGCTCCATGCGGCTCCAGTCCCGCGTTGCCTTGGGAAGGAAAAGGCAAAACCAGGAGCCGCTGAGCCTGAGCCTCCGGTGCCGCTGCTCCCGTTGCAAAGCACCGCCGCGGCTCTTCCTTTTTGCCTTTCCCTTCCCGAGGCAACGCTGGACTGGAGCCGCGCGGAGCCACGCCGGTGGTAGCAACTCCTGACTCAGAGGGCCTCCGAGGGGAGGGGAGCCTCCGAGGGGAGGGGAAGGAGGAGAAGAGGGGGGGGAAGGGGGGGCGATTCCCAAAAAATCTTGTGCTGACCCGGCCCGTCTGTCAAATTTTAAAAGTCAATGCGGCCCCCGAGCCAAAAAGTTTGCCCACCCCTGCTCTAGTTGCTTGGGTTGTGCAAGACAGTCACACATGCCCAACTCTTTCATATAACATATGCTTTTGCATAACATAGTAGCACTTGAATTTAGTATAGAATAATTCATATAGTCTTTTTTCTCCAAATCACAATTATACTCACTAGTAATATTTTCTTCTTCCAATTGGTTGATCCCTAAGAGGTGCAAACCACTGGCAGGAAGGTTTTTTTTCAATGATTCTGTGAGAATTTTGTCCAGAGCTTCTGTGCTATAAGGTACAATCTTAAATGCCTGGATGTAAGAAGAGAACAATCACCAATTATGTATACCCCGTACTGGTTCAATGTATTCAGAATTTGTCTGTGACTTTAAAAATGGAAGAAATTATTAGCATTTAATAATATTAAAACAAAATGATCATCTATCACCATGCTGTACTCAGCTTAATTTACCTGAGTAAATTAAATGATGTTGTGGATATTCTGTCATGGTGCTTGGAGGCTGTGAAAGGCTGGATGGAGAACAGGCTTCAACTGAACCCTGGTAAGATGGTTATCATATCTGGGGGATTTATCATTTCTGGTCTTGGATGGAGTTGCCCTGCCCCAGATAGATCCAGTACATAATCTGAGGGAAATCCTGGACTTACAACTCCTGCTCAAGGAGTAGACAGCAGTCATGGCCAGGAAGGCCTTTGCTCAACTTTGTGTTGTGCACCAATTGCACCCCTTCCTATATTGGAGGCCCTTCTCTCAATCATTCATGCCCTGATCATCCTCTGAAGGAGTATTGCATAGGGCTCTACATAGGGCTACCCTTGAGGAGTATCCAGAAGCTGGAGCTGGCACAGAATGTGGCTATGCAGGCAATTCTGGATGTCCCAAGGACTGAGACCGTAAAAACTTTGTTGCATGAACTGCATTGACTGCTTATTTGCTGATTACCTGAAGAAGCATCTTTTTCCAATTACATTGACTCACTCCACCCTATCAGGCAAAATGGGTATGCCATGTTAGTTGAAGAATTTTGACTGACAGGATCTAAAAAGAGAGCCTTCACTTCAAAGAGCCTTCTCTATGACCTATAAAACATCCTCCATCCAGAGATGAAATTGGCATCCAGTCTCTTGGCCTTCCAAAAAGTGTGAAAACCTGTCTCTGCCAACTTGCCTGGGGATTGAAAAGTGGCATGCCTCTAAGGTGGGGGAGGATTTGGTGACTTGAGGGTACTCCCTCCAATTTTATCTTTGTTTTACTTGTTTCTCATCCTATTTGGATTTTATTTTAATTGTATGGTTTTATATGGTTTATACGGCAGCCCAGAGTCACTTAGGTAGCCAGACTGGCTCTCGCTACTCCCTAAGAAGGAATAATCCTTGACTACATAGGTTTAGGGAAAAGGTACTTTAACTAGAAATACTGAGTGCAGCATGGATGAGGCAAGGTCTAAGGAAAAACCATGCGAAAATTGTATATTGAAAGCAATCCCCAATGTCCAAAAACCTCCCCCCTGGGAGAGCAGTCCAATCAGGTCTCATTCTGATGTTTTGGGAAATTGATGCCTCAAATGCCTGTGTAAATTCCTTTCCCAGGACTGGCATCCTTGAAGCTTGGCAAATGGCTCTGATTCCTGTTAGTGTCCATACTCCAATAGCATTCTTTCACACCACCAGCACACATCCCCTCCCGGATGCTCCCTTCCCCCTAGCTATGGCAGTTGCTAGTGAGCTTCAAAGAAGGCGAAGATGAGCAGCTGACATGGGTGATCCCTAAATTTGATAAATAAAATAAGTTTGTAGTAATACTAAAAGCAATGTTGCATATTTAGACAGTGGCAGTCAGCTGATGGCTGATATGAAAATGAATGTTCTTATGCTACATATATATACAATTTTTACTACCAAACATTTAGAAGTCATCAGGTAATAAATATGGGAAAAGTAAATATAGTAATACAGGTAGTCCTTGATTTACAAAGAGTTCATTTAGTGACCATTCAAAATTACAATGGCACTGAAAAAAGTGACTTATGACCATTTTTCACAGTTACAATCTTGGTAGCATCCCCATGATCATGTGATCAAAATTCAGATGCTTGGCAACTGATTCATACATATGACCATTACTGTGTGCCAAGGTCATATGATCACCTTTTGCAGCCTTTTGACAAGCAAATTTAATGGGGAAGCCAGATTCATCTAACAACTGGGTTACTAACTTATCAATTACAGTGGTTCCAAGGGTAGGATTCAGCAGGTTCTGACCAATTCTGGAGAACCGGTAGCGGAAATTTTGAGTAGTTCGGAGAATCGGCAAATGCCACCTCTGACTGGAGATTTTACAGTAGCCTTCCCCTGCCACACCCATCAAGCCACGCCCACAAAACGGTAGTAAAAAAAATTGAATCCCACCACTGTGGTTAACATAACAACTGTGGCAAGAAAGGTCATAAAATGGGGCAAAACTCACTTAGCAACAGAAACTTTGGGCTCAATTGTGGTTATAAGTCAAGGACTACCTATATTTTAATATACAGCTTCTAACAACATTACTACAGAAATGCAGCTATGTTGTAGAGGTTCTTATATATTTACATCTCAAGCTACATGAAATTAAAAATGTTCATGTCTGAAGTCCCCTTCCTTTATTCTTTGTTTGAATTTAGGAAACTTAAATCAGGGATATTGAATACTGAGAAGAATAATGCATGCCCAGAGTCATGCTAATTACCACTTCCCTGTCCAAAGGCAAGCATACAAATTTGAGAAACTATCATGTTCTGAAAAAATGGATTTATCAGTTGTGGATCTTCACATTCCCCTCAAACGAAGGAGCTCAGAGGTCTGGTTCTGATCCCAAAATCATGCCACTGCCATAAATGCCCACTTGCGTACACACCAATCCATTAAAGTCAGAGAGAAACTCATGCAATTGAAACAGCTTTTCTTTCTAAAAAGAAAAATGCTGTAGATGTAAGCAAGAACTGTCACTCATGCACTATTGGTTGGACTATTGTAATGTACTCTTCGACCAAACCAGTTGGAAGACACTGCAGGTACAGAATGCAGTAGTGCAGGTAGTGTCAAGTAGGCTTCAGAATGCCCCTGTGACACCACTACTGCATGAACTATACTGGTTAACAGTGAACTTCCAGGCACAATTCAAGATGCTGGTTGTTACCTATATAGCCCTATATGGTGTAGAGCCAGATTATCTTTAATAGTCTCCTTGAGGTTTTCAGATTATCACAATTAAACAAAACCATACAATTAAAAATATCTTTTTTCTAATAAACACACTATATATTTTAGCAAGAAACAAGTTTTCTGAATCCTCCACTTATTTATTTCTCAAAAGATGGTTTTGCTACTTATTCATGCCTCAAGTTTACAGTTGGTCCTATCTTTCTACTATCTAAATGATATAACAAGCTCTCTCCTGTTCCCCACCTTCCTAAAGCAGGGAGGTTATTTACTTAAAATGCCCCATTAAAATTAAATTTCACCTGACACATGAATTCCACTGGATTTGCTGCAGTAGACAACAAGTTGCTAATTTCTTCCATGTCAGTATAGTAATTGATGTTTGATTCAGCTATCATTAAATCTCCAGAAAACAGTTTCAAACATACAGTTCCAGGTGATAAGTCTGAAGGGCAAGAGAAGGTCAGCAATAATCAGTACATAAAAGGAAACTCATACATCGTGTTGAAAGAAGCAGTGGAAAAAAGGGTCAGCAAATACACATGTAAACTGGATACCTCTCTAACTCTAAATTAAGCAAAATGCCCAGAGTTCAGTTAAACATGATGAGACCTTGAGTGGGAAAACAAGTCTATATGTTAAAAAAAAAACACCACATGCTGTGGGGAAAAATGGGCAAAGAACTTCCATTTTTGAATCAAGTGAGTCTTTGTTCTTTACAGAATTGAAAAGCTAAAGTCAGAAAAGTGCCCATGCAGAAAATGCTGCTGCTTAGAATCAAGCAACAGTCCATGTTTTTAATTCTATTTTTATAGTTTTATGTTAATTTTTAGTGATAAAACCTATCATTTTAACTGCTGTTTCAAGATCAGTTTAAGTTCCATCCAAATTAAAAAGCTTCAGAAAATAGCATCACCTGGACAACTTTCACTGATTAATAGATGGGAAATCACCAGGTTAATTTGGGGCCAAAGACTAGAAGAGAAAATTAAGCGTTTCAGGAAGCAATGATAAAATGCTTCCTTACTGTTGCCAAAACTACACAGATGAATCCAGGGGTGGGATTCAAATTTCTTAACCACCAGTTCTGTGGGCGTGGCCTAATTTGTGGATGTGGCTTGGTCATGTGACTGGGTGGGCATGGCTTGCTGACAGGGTGTGGCTAGGTGGTCATGTGACTGGGTGGGCTTAGCTAGGTGGCCATGTGACTGGCAAACCAAATATAAGTGGTTCTTGCTTAATGGCCAGTTGTTTAGCAAGTGTTCTAATTTATGACTTACCTCCCCAGAGCTACTTGACCTGTTTTTGACGTTTTGACAGCTATACATACATACACACACTTATGACCAGTTACAACATCTTACACAGTCTTATGACTGAGGTTTTCTATGTTTGTTGCCAATTTCCAACAATTCCTTCTGGTTTCCAGTTAAAAATGCCCATTGAGGAAAATGGACTTGTTTAACAACCAGTGATTGCTTAATGACCACAAGGTTCACTACCATGGTGTTTGCCTAATCCAGGGGTCTGCAACCTTAAAAACTCAAAGAGCCATTTTTCTATTTTCTTTTAAAGAGGTATCTCTGTCTGTTTCTTTCTCTTTCTTTCTTTCTTTCTTTCTTTCTTTCTTTCTTTCTTTCTTTCTTTCTTTCTTTCTTTCTTTCT